CTGCTCAGGCAGAACAGGGCTGAATGCAGAGCAGCAAGGCCAGTTTGATGAACTGTTCTCTCTTTGCAAAGATATTAGAAATAAAGTGCAACAAACACTACTGCCAGCAGATGTCACCCCAACGGAACTGAATGAAACTTCAGGTAGTGAATCACTTGAAGTCACAATAGATCAAAATGATTCAATGCTTCAAAAAGCCTCACTTGGTCATCACTACAGGAACGCTGGATAAAACTTACCGATGGCTCTTAATAATCTGGAACCAGTGACTGAGAGCTGTTATATATCCAGGTGAGCAGGTGGATCTGATGAAGGCTGATTGGAAACAGGGTGGAGCTGACAGGTGTGTTGAATGCTGAATCAGACCAGTGCTAGTGCCAAGAACAATGACAGTTATCACTTGGTGCTTAACAGTTTTGAGACTTTATTAAATGAAAGACTTTAGATAATTTACCTGGTAGATTAAATGTATTGTTCACCAATAGATAAAAGAAAAAAACATAATAATCAGAATAAAGTTAATTCAGTGAGTATAAATCCTTAAGATACGACCACCCCTGTATGTTTAGAGCAAAGAATCAGCAGTAGATATGTAAAGTTTATTTTTAAACCTGTTTCCAAGCAAGAAAGAAAATAAAACCGATCTATAAGTGCATTGAAAAAAATTCAATGAAAAGTCTGGAAAGGAACCAAACAATGAATTTAAAACGCCAATAATAACAGTGAGAGAACAGAGATTGTGTGTGAGTGCAGGAGAACATTTCACAGAGCAAAGTGACTCTTTCTGAGGTCTTATTTGGTCAAATGATGTCAATTATTATTACATAAACCACCATCTTGACAACGTACTAACCCCCATTATAGGGCCTTCATTCAGAGCCTTTCTGGAATGTTGAAAGTGTGCAAGCATTTCAGGGTTATTAATGATGAAGCCAGTATGGGAGGCCACAGCTGCAGCTGTCACTATGGGCCATGTAGCGGCTAATACACCACCTATCAGGGGGGGGCAGCCTGATCCAGCCCAGGCCCCCCATTTTTATTCCTAGTTCTGTGATCCAGATTGTTTCAACAGTCAGGGAAGGTTTTATTTATTATGACTGTAAGTTAATTTTAATAAAACATGTTCCCTGGGAACTAACATGGATTTGCAATCAAAGCAAAGCAATCTATATGGGATCTCAGACACCCTGTTTCCTCTGTTGTTTTTCACTGGGTAGTTACTCTTGTTGTTGCTGCTAGAGTGAACCCCCCCCACCTCAGAAGTTCATTTGCATTTCTTTATCTTTAATTGCAGATCCTAATGCAACTCAGGCACTTGACTGCAGCATGTTTCCGCCCTGCAAAGTGTTAATTAACTGTAACACAGAAGGTGTGCCTTTTCCCATCAGTGGGAAATAAGCATGAAGCAGTGAGGTGAGATGAGATCAGCAGGTGAAACGGAGGAACAATAATCTCATCTTTTCTTATTTATTAGCTGCCAAAGTAAAATATTCCACTCAGTCTCTATATGAGCAAATTCACTTTAGCTGTAGCTTCTAAATGAATTCCTGATTGTTCCATATAAATATCTAGAACCTTATTCATAGCTTACAGGTATGCTAGTCTCTGTCTTCATCATGCTAACGAGCTGTGGGAGAAAAAACATCAAACATTACACACACACAAATACACACAACTTTGTTTTTATATCCGTATTGAGACTCTGCATGATAATAACTGAACTTTATTGATCTCACACTGAGGAAATGTACCTCTCTGCATTTAACCCAATCCTAACAATCCATTAGTCATGTAACTCCTCCTCTAACCGCGCGGTGCCTGCGCCATCTTTGTTATTAGTCGCCTTTGTCTTCTTCTCATCCACTTCGTAGATACTTTTCTCTTCCGCCCCTTGGCCATTTTCATAGAAAGGCGAGCTTCAGTGACTGTCTGAAACCGTAGCTCACCACAGATATACGCCTGAAAGTGCGCAGGAAAAGATGGCTAACGGGACGAGCCTGTAGGACGGCCTTACGTAAACACATCACCAGAATGATTGACAGTTAGGAGGACCACTAATTGAGATGATCCACCCGGAAATAGAAAGTGCACTGCTCTAACCGCTAGGCTAACACTACCCAAAGTTGTTCTGTTAGTCTTTCCACATTGACTTCATAACCTTTTTTAGACATTCACACTCTAGCAAAATGTTCTTTTTTTCCAACAATGCAGCGGATAACTTCTTTGGCAGGACAAAAGATAATGGAGAGAATGACACTGCATCACGACGTCATGTGACAACAGAAGAAGATTCTATGTTCCACATCGTCAAACCGGGGGCAGACATCCCATTAGG